CAGTCTTTTTTTTTTTGTATTATTGTGTGTGTATGTGTGTGTGTGTGTGTGTGTGTGTGTGTGTGTGTTTCTGTCTGCCTGTCTGTCTGTCCATTGGCCAGCTTGAGGTGTACCATAACATTGTAGCTAACTTACCCAGTGTATGAGTAGGATTCTAATCTTGGAAAAATACCTGAATTTCTTTGCCTCATCTTCTTCATCTGTAAAATGAAATGAAAATATCACCCTTTTCATAAGATTTTTGAAGATCAAAAATTATTACATTAGAGCATTATAACAATATCAGTTACATATAAAGTACTCAGTACATGTTAGCAAAAACTAATTCCACACCTTTCCCATACTCCCCTGTCAAATGTGACTTGTAAGCTCATAATGGAGATAACCATCTCTTTTTATGTTCTTCATAATGTAAAATACAAGGTATTGAATAAATACTTCTTAAATAAATGAAGATATTTTTATTGATTAATTGAAAATTATATCAGAATAATGTTAACATTTGACTCAAACAAGTAAACTCCAATTGTAACAGTATCTTACATTCATGGATAATTTTGTAGTTTTTAAATTACTTTAAAATACTTCTTTCTGACTTTGTGAGGTAATTGGGTAGATATTATCTCCTTTTTATAAATATAAACATTAAAATGTATAATCTTCAGATAGTTTAATCTTTCCCTCCCTCCCTCCCTCTCTTCCTTTCTTTTCTTTCTTTCTCTTTTTTAGACAGGGTTTTACTACGTAGCCCACACTGGCCCAAACTCACAGTAATCCTTCTGCCTTGGTCTCTCCAGTGCTGGGATTACAGGCATGTGCCACCACACCCATCAGTTTAATCTTTTAAAAAGCTAATATATTATAGTACATAAATTTGAAATGTTTTTCTGAACTTCGAGTCTATTGTTTGTTTCTTTACTTCAACAGGAGTTCAACAAGGTAGATATGGTTGATTCCTACCTTGAGCGAGTACAATGTAGTGTTGGTACTTACATAATATATGTGTTAAAGTATAAGAAGAGAAGCAAGTAGAGATGTAGTCACAGTTATTCTCAGAAACTGTCATTTTATTATTAAATATTCTGTTGATGATATAGAAGTCTATGAAGCCTTTGGATTTCCCCAGATAAAACAATTTGAGTATTAGAAAGGATCAAAGTAATTTAATGTGTCTTTACAATTTTCCCTGTTTCTGTTGTCCTGATTTTAATTTATCATCTCAAAGTATTTGCAAAAGGGTTTTTCTCCTACATGTGCTTTTATTTTAAGTATTAGATCCTCTGGACAAAGCTTATACTGTATACTGGTATACCCTTTATTGTTAAAACTTTGTGTGGTTACATTTTCACAAGAGGAAGAAATCTGAACACAAGGTGTTTATGGATGGTCAACCATGAAGTACTAATGAAACAGAAAACCCTTTCATATTTTAAAAAATCTGGCAGGCTTATAATATTGCCCACGAAAGCCATCTGCCTAAGACAGCTGTGTCTGACTACAGCTTCTGATGTCTTGTGCTACTCTTTCCTTGAGACAGAATTGTTATATAGGTTAGTAACATAGACTTAAGATTGAGATTTCATACAGCAGGTGGACTTGCAGATCAGAAGAAATAGCACTGTAGTAAAGTTAAACATGCCAAAATTTTTCACTAGTAAGAGAATGATACTTGCTGTTCAGGAAACTGATATACTTGTGTATGTGACTATGTAGTCCCAGCAATGTATGGATTGCATCAATCTTCCCCTCCTTGTGGCTTTTAAACAAGAGGTGCTTCTACAATCACTCAGTAACTACCCTCTCACCCAGCTTTATTTTTGACAGACTCCGGCATTGTATTGTATTATATTAATTAGTGATCTGTTTATTGTTATTCTCGACCACTAGAATGTAATCTCCACAAGCTTTTTCACTGGCTTTTTTTCTTCTGTGCCTGGTGTGTAGAAGCTACTTAGTAATCAATAATATTGAATGAATGAATACATGATTGAGTGTATGATATTTTCTATTTGCAATCTTAGAGACAAGGTATAATTTAATCTTCATAGAGAAAAAACTTCAAAATTATTGTTTCTTCTATGTATCATGTAGGATATGAAGGGAGAAATCTACATAGTCATTCCTTATATTACAGTGAAGTCTAGACTCTGAAAATTATGTTCTTAAGTATCTTGATATTCCAAGAATCAGGAATACACAAGCATTTTTCTGAGATGAGGTAAAATGAAGCTAGAGAAAATGCAAATGAAAGACGTCACAGGTTATGTGCTCTGGAAGCAGAGGTTACAGTTTGGTGTATGTTTATTAGAAACAGATGTTAGTGAAAGTGGGTAGAAAGAATCAGGCAAAGAAGTCTGGCTTTGATGCAGGACTTACAAAAAGACCTAGCCAATCTTTCGAGGAGCACTGAAGCAAGTGTTTGCCTGCTTGGCTTAGGTCCCGGAGGCAGGCTTTGCTGGGGAGGTCCTATTTCTAGGTGAAGTGGCTCTTTGCAGGTGAGATAAACAATGAGAGAGCTGACAGCAGGAGGCTGCCCACTGGCCACGTTCCCTGCATCTGGGCAGCAAATCCTTCCTTCAGAGAAGTACTGGTGACCCATCCTCTTTAATACCCCAAGATATCTGAAGCCTATTACTTTGATTTTAAAGATTTGTAAAGAATTACTGTCTACCCATTGGTTAAACTTTTAAATGACTGCCTAAGGAGATCACAACACAAGAGCAGTGTTTCTAAGAACTGAAAAAAGAGAAGGTTCTATGGATGATTAGTGCTTACAGTGATGAAATTTGGGAAGTAGATGCATTTCACAACATTTATTTACTTGACGATTTAAAAAATGTATTTAAGGCCATTCTTGTTGCATAATTTTCCCCTCTAATTTCTTTACTCCAGTTATGATTTTGCCAAACATGAAACTTTTAAAGGAACAACTGCAGTTAATGATGGAATGTGTCATCTTCCAAAATGTCACCTGTAGGTTATTTTTTGAATTTTGACATAGTGTCTCTTAGAATGAATCAATGTTAGGCTGCAAAGGTAGCCCACAAAGTTTCACTTTTCTGCATCTCTAATTCCTGAGTGTCTTAAAATCTGGAATTTACAAAGTCACCCTTAGAGTGATGAGGGGGAGGACGCTAGTGCTGAATTGAAATTAATAGGTGTGGCAGTTAGCGGGATGGTACAACGTTTGGAGCTGGAGGGGTGAAGCAAAGAAGGAGGCTGGAGGCAATGTGAGCCAGGTATGTTGGTCATTTCTCTTTCTTTGTGAACTGTGTCAATCAGGGAGACTGCCCGCACATTTGTGGCTGGTGTGCTGTATTATGAGTGGTCTTTGTAGCTCCCCTCTCCATTGTGAAACTCAACAGAATCAGAGCCACTGTGCTCTAGCAGCATAATGCAGATGTGTCATTCTCTCCAAGTGAAAAAAAGATGAGGGGGCTGTGCGCTCTCTGAATTCTATTTTTAAATGCCCATCACTTCATTTCAAAACATTTTTTTCAAACATGCCATAGATACTACTCTTCCTTGAGATGCTAAATTTGAGGTTTTAGAAACCAAATCCTGAGCGGTACAGCATAAAACTAAGTATCTCAAAAGGTTTAAACACAATTGGTTTTTAATTACTTAGCAAAAACTCATTGTACCAAGACTGAGAGACTTTTTAGCTTAAAAAGCAGAAACTGAAAGGAAGTAACAGTGTGAACTTAAAATAAAAACATCATTTCAGTTTTAGAATATCATCTAGGCAAGTCTGCGATATGGTAATCAAAGAAGAAAAGCGGGGGAGGGGACCTGCTTGGGTTAATACCTTAAATACTTTAAACTTTCTGGATTTTAATATGACTTAGACCTTTCTTCTGGACAAAAATGTTCTTTCTGAGCCATAAAGTCTATAGAAACTGTTTTGAACCATTTGCTCCATAGACTACCATTGGTTCAACTCTTGCTTGAGGAAAGTACTCTTCCTTCTCTCCTGAAGTCCTTGCCTCCAGTCTGTGTTCTGAGAGAAGTGCATGGTTGGCATTTCCTAGGAGAAATTATTAAAATGCCTCACATTTGAGTGTGACAGAACACATTATAACTGAGCAAATGCTTTTATTTCTCTGTAACTAACCTGCACCACCTCTATCAGTTTTACATCTGGAGTTGAATAGGAAATGAGGGATAGAAAAAAATACTGCTTCTCACTGCTCAGAGGACGCTCAAACAGCAGGTTTTGCTGGGTCTGAAAGACAGTTACACTTGATCTTTAGTGTTGCTTTTGAATCCACACTTGAAATAAAAGAAACCTTATTTTCGTCTTGGCTTCATTGTGAGTTAAGCAAGGAATAGGAAGCAAGGGGTTTTTAAAGTCTCTTCCAGACCTTCAAGGTAGGTACTACAACCTCAGTTAAAATCCTGTGTGTCACTAGGCACAGTAAGTTAATTAACCTCTCTGTGACTCTGCTTTCTTATCTGTAACATGGGGACACAGTCCTTCCCAGGCTCATTTTGAGGCTAATACAGTCAAACTTGTGGGATAGTACCTGCTATGGTGTTGATATACAGTATGTACTTCATGCATTCCTAGAGAGTGGCATTCATTACATACATTCTTATGTGCATAGAAAGAAGACTCAATCCCTCACTATTAAAGGTCCTTAGATTATCACCTTTATTTTTTAGTAAGAAACTTACACAGGATATAAGTTATCAAGAAGCTTGCATTTCAGTGTAAATTAGGAAGGCCTAGTGATGTCATGGTTTTATTTTTATAATCTGTCCCAGGGATTATTACTAAAGGACTATTAGACAAAATTTCTCTCATACAAAGTCTCTTCTGTAGAAATGATTGAGGAGAATCTTATGAAAAGTATAAAATATATGTACATTATGAAATATGATTTTTTCAGGTATCATTTGAGAACTGACATTTTGAAAAAAAATAGGCTATATTTCCTGAATCAACAGTAACAGCAGATATTTATTATATAGTTAAGTGTCTTAGATAGGTGCCCAGAATATGTACATGTCTTCAGTCCTTTGTGACCCACATTCTTTAAATCTATCCACCTCTCACAACCTGTCATTGCCACCCACCCTGGCTGTGTTAGTGTTTCTGGTATCTGATTTTCTCCCAGAACATCTTGGTAATCACCATCACTTGTAGATGCTGCCTTTGAAATATGTGTAATACTCATCTATTCAGCTGTCTGTCAAG